CTATATTTAATGCAGTAGATTTATATCACACCAGCGAACAAAGGTAGATAAATCGTACTGTAATAATTTTGTGTCAGTTGAGTCATGAATAACTTCAAACATCTTCAGGTCATCAGCAAACAAAAGAAATTCACTATAAAAAATAATTTTTTACTGTCTACGATTTCACAGATATATTCAAGTAGGTATATAATAGCTATATAATATTCAGCCTTGTTGTATAAATGGCCTTCCATATAATTTAAAAATTAACATTGTAACGTTCCATTTTCCTTTGTATCTTTACAAAAGTATTTTCACAATTCCTTCTGTAATTCTATAACATAGGTCCTACATCTTTATTGTATCAGTATTTTCACCGTCATTTCGCCACATATTTCATTTTTGCCATCATACAAAAGTTGTTTTATCAAGTGTCATGATATACCTACCTATATATAATCCGAAAAACAGTTTTATCGGGCAGACTACTCAGAAAAAAATCATCCAATCAATTTTCAGACTATCGATTAGCCATAATCGACAGTCTGAAAATTAGACATAATCTAGTAGATACAATTAGTTTATAAACTGTCGATTAGCCTCAATTGACAGTTCGAACTATTGATTATCTATAATCGACAGTGGCTAATCGATTGTTTGAACTGTCGATACAGATCGATTAGCCAAAATCGACAGTTCAAACTGGCTGATCGATGTTGGCTAATCGACAGTTTATACTGTCGATTATTGCCAATCCACAGTTTGTACTGTCGATTATATTCAATCGAGAGTTTGAACTGTCGATTATAGAAAATCGATCATAAAATAAAAAGGCTTTGTGGCCTTCAGTGTTCTTCGTACAATACTGACGTCGAAGTGATTCAGCTTACTGCGACTCCTCAATTTTATTATTCTATCGAGTGGTGTTGAGAAATATCGCCCTGTGCCATGATTATGTATCAAATTATGCGCTCTGCGCCATGATGTGATGTAATTCTCCATCTGGAACGTCCCCTATGTCGTGATTGGATGCTGCCGGGATCATCGTCCTTTGCCTTGATTTGTCTTCAGAAATGTGCTTGATGACCTGCGCCATGGCATTCTTTCACGAACGCTTCACATGCTCAGAACGTGCTTCTGTGTCATGATTAGTCAATACAAACAGGTTCTTGTTTTGTGATTGGCCGTTGGGAATGTTCTCCTGAGTCGTGATAGGCAGACAGCATACCATTCAAAAGTATGTTCTATTCCTATTTGTCAGAGGCATTTGTTCTCTGTCCTACAGTTCTGTTATATCTTGGAATCAGGGCCGTCGCCATGGGGGGTGGAGGGATCCTCCCCCCTGCTTTTTCGACTAGGGAAAAAGTTGGGAAGTGAAGATAGAAAAAAATAATAGTGAAAAAATAAGGAAAGGGAAAGAACCAGGACAAGGTTTGGATTTCCCAACATGCATAACTTGGCGATTCCATACTTTGACATTCTGAGTTGTTTGAAAACTTCGAAAAAGTTTAATTTCTCCCAAGTAAGAGAGAAAAGTTGAACAGTCCACAAATTTTGAAGTGACAATTTTACAAAATTCCCAACTTTTCGACATTCGACTTGGAAAAGTTGGGAAATTTCGGGCCGTGAAGATAGAAAAAATAATAGTAGAAAACAATAAGCACAATATTATTTAAAGTTGTTTCCTTTCATTTGTATTGAATATTCCTATATATGATGGATATGGTGGAGGACCAAGGACCTTAGTCCAAAGTAGAATGATTCGCATTATTATTTTTATCATTACCAAAATTTATTTTTGTTTGTGCATACTCTAACGGGCATAAGTATTCAGCCAATCTTTGGATATCTATGTAAGAAAATTAATATATTATATCAGTAACTAATCCCTTGGCTTTTATTTTTTCAAAAGTTGGGAAATTTTGCTGGTGGGGTTGGGAAAAGTTGGATTCCTCCCCCCCTGGTTTTTCTTTTCGCTACGGCCCTGCTTGGAATGATAGTCTGGGCCACAAGATCCTTTTTTTGGAACTTCTGTCCAAAGGCACCGAAAATTATGATCCAGGGTTCAATCGATTTGAAATAATCTCTAGCAACTTTTTGAAACATTTCAAGGGGGTCTCGAAAAAATTGCAAAAGTTATAAACACTTTAGTAAAAAAAGGGGAGTTTGGTTTTTGGTAAATATATCGGAAAATATTACAGATATTCGAAATTTGAAAAAAGAACGTTAAAAAGGAGGAAATTTCATAAAAAAAAGTTCCACGTCCCGGAACTCTATCACTATTATTTATAATTTTAATTTAAAGGCGAAAATAACGCTGCGCGCGTCCCGAAAGCGCTGGCCGATGTGACCTTTGAATAATAAAAATTATCTCAACCCATTAAATATCATCATTAGGACACTTGAATAAACAAAATCCATGGAAAATTTTTTTCCGTGATTATTTTATTAAATATACTTCAGTTAATTAACAAATTTTTACAAGTTTTAAATTTACATAAAAACCCTGATAATTTTTAAACTAAAAACCTCAAATTTTGTTCATTTCTGGGAGCTTTTATCAAAAACCTTTAAAAAAGATTCCCGATTTGATTTTCCATTTTTTCCATTTATTGATAATCAGAAACGTTAAAAAGTGAAAAATCCAACTAAAGCAATGAATTTTTTTTCAATATTCTAATTTATTCGTATTCTCATCATTTAAAGTTACATAAAAACAATTTTTCATATTTTTTAGCTCTATTTGTTTAAAAATTCGTTATAAACAAATATATTTTTCAAAAGGTATTTGAAATTTTTGTGGGGGGATTATTATCAGTGATGAATATTGTGATTTTCAATAAGAAAATCATTCCTTGAATAATTTTTTGTTGCTCACAAACGCATTTGTTGATCAACAATTTTTTTTGCTACAAAATATGAATATTAATGAACGATTTTTTTTCAATTCATAATTTTTATTTCTCTTTGATATCCTGATTTTTTTTTTATTTCGGTCTGTCGGTAGCCGGTCGGTACGACGTGGGTGCTTTGTTCACTCACTTGAATTGGCTGTCGTGTTGGTCGCTGGTTCAAGCCCCAGTCTGAATGATCAATTTTCACTTGCTATCGTCCAACCCGTATTAGGGATCGCACGTTGAAAGGCAATACCTCGTTAATACTTACCTCAAGTTTCAACTTCTGAAGGTTGTTGTTCGTAGAGGTGCGACAGCTCGTTAACGGAAAAACAGATTTTTGAACAGATTTTTCATAGTCTTTATTATTTTTGAAACTTCAAATAATAAGAACAGAATGAATTTGATAGAAAAAATCATTGCTTCAATTGAATTTTTCACTTTTCAACGTCTATGATTATTAAAAACAAAGTGGAAAATTTAAAATTTTCAATTTTTACAACGGAAATCTTGTAGAAATGAGTTACTTAACTATACGATACCTAATAAAACAATCGCGGGAAATTTTTTTTGCCATGGTATGTCAATTTTTTCACGATGATGATATTCAATGGGTTAAAATAATTTTCATTGTTCAAAGGTTTGTATAGGTCAACGCATGCGGGACACACATCGTCCGCTTATGGCGTTATTTCGTCTCCTAATTAAAATTATAAATATTGATGATTGAGTTCCGGGAGGAGAAACATTTTTTTTAGTAAATTTCTTCCTCATGTATATTTTTTCAAATTTCGGATGTCTCTAATATTTTTCGAGATATTTGCAAAAATCCAAATTACAAAATTGTTTATAACTTTTTCAATTTTTTTAGCCCCTCTATAGATATTTCAAAAAGTTGGATCATAATTTTCGGTGCCGGTGGACAGAAATACTATAAAAAGGATTTTGTGACCCAGACCAAATTTATTGTGCTATAAAAATGATGCCAATTTTTCTGTGGTAAAGTTATAAACTATTTTAATCAAAATACTTCGTGCATAGATTTTCCATATGCAAGCTTATATCATAGTATAATTAAAACTTAAACACCAGAATATCTATATAATAAAATCAAATTCCGAACTGACGTACATACATTGTATGTACGTCAGTACGTATGGGGCTTTCAACACCCCTATTGCACAAAACACAACAATATGTAAGATCCTACAGTTATCAAATCTCAAAAATTTACAATGAAATTCCGAACAGTTTGAAAGAGATGAAGTTAGATAAGTTTAAAGAGAATCTGAAAATAATTTTATTGAAGAAGCAGAACACCCCTCGATAATAATATTACTAATGTTTTTTGATTTATTTACTTTTTCGTTATATGACGCGTTATGAGGTTGAGTGGAAGAGCAGCTCAATTGAATAGCCAAATAATATTGTCATATAATTTTTTTTAAGCTGAACTCCGCCTATTATGCCAACAATTAGCATTTCAAGATGGAAATAATTATTTATTATGTAAAATGGAAAAAAAAGTCGCTATTGTTATTATTATAGCTAAAAAATTCCAAGCTTTCTGTAATGGAGACTAAGCATTTTGTGCGAAATATACATATACTCTGTTCATCTAAACAAAAGAGTGCTCCAAAATATTATCATGAATAGTGCACGTGATCTCCCATACATGGTGCTAGTACAGAGTCGCACTCATGAATGACCGTTTTTTTAAATAATATGCGGCTGGGTATATGCTTTTTCTAAGGTGTAGTTTAGGGACACATTAGCAGATGCTAATTTGTGTCCCTAAAATGCTTTGATCACATATCTGTCAATGTTTGGGTTACTTTGTTCGTTGGATGGGCAGTGCTTAACGATATAGATTCTTAAGTAGGGACTCAATCTCATATTCAGTTTTAATGCTATTGATGTTATTTGATGTCTACATTTCATTTTCATCGTCATTCGTTTTTTAGCCTTCGAATTATGATTTTATGACTTAACATAGGTACAATATATAGTGATGTGCATGAATAATTTCTTTCATGGCAAATATGAAAGGTGCTAGATAGTTATATCCCGCACTTACGAGTAAGTCATTATAGAATATATCCTGATATTGTATGTTTCAGCAAAACCATTTGAATGCCAAACTTGTGGACGGAAGTATAAGTATAAAGGAGGCATGACGCACCACCTTCGATTTGAGTGTCAAAAAGAACCTACCTTCTGTTGCAGACGTTGTCCTTATAAAACAAAAACTAAAAGTAGTTTAACTAGACACATACTGGCTAGACATACAAATAAAGTATGATTGTTTTCTAATAACTGTATTCATCACGAAAGTGTCTACGAAAAAGTATTTTTTTGCTAGATGATCATACCTAACAGATTATTATTTTTGTTTCGAAACTGTAGCTGCTATTTCTTTCTGCCTGGACAAGCTGTAAAATAGAAAAATATATCGATCAGATAAATACCGAAAAAAAAACTTGTGAAAAATATAAAAATACTTTTATATTAACAAAGAAACCTTTGTTTACATTTTTGATTACGTTAATAATAAATAACTTTATGCGCAGTGCTAATTATATCGCCCCAAAAATATATGTGATGATACCGAATGAAATTCCCAGGCCTAGTACTTTCAAAGACTGGATACTTTATAATGAGCATATAAATGAAAAGTTTATTGTTTCAAATGAATTATGATTTGTTAAAAAAAAATGTCATTTAGATATAAGCAAAATGAACTTATTACCTATTATTGATTCTAGGGTGGGGATTGTATGGTATAAAAAAACGATTAGATCATCTAAGTGAACAATTTGTTCAGGTCAATCCCAACTCCCTACACTGTAGGTTAATGGACTGACACCTGTCAGAAACAACTACTCCGCTAGCTAATACCACGAAGGGAGTTGAATTATATCCGACAGGTGTCAGTACAGGATTATTCACTGAAGTTATGCCTGCATCATGCTGTTGGCGATACAACTGCCACAATTGATTTTCAATTATTAAAACACACTTGTAGATCGGTTTCGGGCTGTTTGGCCACTCGTCAGTGCAAGGTAGTGTCTATCATCAACATAAAGTGGATGATTTCCTATAATTGAAAATGGAATTTCTTCAGAGTATCATTCCTCGAACTAGGCTGAAGCGGACAACAAACAACAGGTTTGTCATCGCCTCATCTGCCTGTGAATGAGGTAACCAACCGCTTATTCGAAATTTGCCCAAGTCCTCGGATAAGGAAAAAAACTTCACAAATAGTCAGTGGGCACACTTGAAGACTGGCTATAAATCAAAACATCTAAGGAAACAATTTGTTCAGGACAGGTCTCAACTCCTTATACTGTAGGTTAATGGACTGACAAATATCAGAAAACAATTACTTCCCTGGCTAATACCACGAAGGGCGGACCGGTTTCGGGCTGTTTTGCCACTCGTCAGTGCAAGCTAGTGTCTATCATCATAGGTGCCAGTGCAGGATTCTTCCGTATGCAGGAATTTAGGAATGCAGCATATGCAGGAATAACATCAGTGAAGAATCCTGCTCTGACACCTGTCGCATAAAATCCAACGTCTTTTGTGGTATTAGCCAGGGGAATAGTTGTGTTTTGATAGGTGTCAGGTTGTGTTTGATAGGGAGTTGAGAGTGGCCTGAACGAATTGTTCTTTCAGATGATTTGATTTATAGCCAGTCTTCAAGTATGCCCACTGACTATATGTGAAAAAAATCGATTAGGTTGAGTTAAACTCACCTAGTTATCTTCAATTATCCCTTTTTATTGAATTCAACAAGTATTACAGAAATAATGAATGGGACATATTGAAAATTAAAAAGGAACTGGAAGGATAAATGTACGATGTATATGCAGATTGAGACCTCAGTGTAGTGAAAGCTTCTTGAATATGGGTTCAAAGTCGAAGCCATCTGATATGAATTGAATATTATTGATGTTTATTATGCTCAGAAATAATTGCGATTCTGTTAAATATCAGACAAATGATATGAGAAAAGGAGGTGGTGTAATTTTAAATTTGTGCGAATTTTGTAAAAAAATATAAGTTTTGAAGTTCTTCCATTTTCTGTCTTTCACACAAATGGTGATGGCTGAATATTTCCTTCCTTCAACTTCTCAACTCATTTTAAAATTTTCCAGGGCGATACTATAAATATCAAGAGAATAACAACACTTGGTTCGTTTGCAACACATGTCAAATGAAGTACAGACATCGTCAATCGGCCCATAGACACGTGAAGACTGAATGTAACATACCAAGATTTTCCTGTGGTTTTTGTTTGATGAAATTTGCTGATAAAAAAATGCTTAAAATTCACAAACGTTTCTGTAGTAAACAATGAAACCTCTACATGAAGAGACTTATTATTCGTTATTATTATTATTATATATGAAGAGGAGAAAGAAGGATTATTGAGATGTGATAAATGTTAATTCATACCGACAAATGTATATAGATATGTTGATAAATAAATATAGAGATGCAGAAGGGACACAAGTTTGAACTCGAAATTGAGTTTCAATTTTTTTTCAAATGTGTGACCCGTTTGCGCCTTTGTGAATAAAGGAATAAAAATACAAACTGTTTTTTTTTCAGTCTGTATTATAACAATTAACTATTATGAAAATAAAAGGTACAACTGGAAATACTTTCGGGGTAGAATGAACCCGAAATAAATAGTTTTCCCAAACACCAGAATTGCAATACTATTTTCGACTCGCGTTTCAGCAACCAAGTTGGCGTCTTCAGGAAATGAAAAAAAAAATCCTAACTAAAAATTGTCTCTACAGGGTGTAACTGAATAAGTGTAAAACATTCAAGGAGGTGATTACTCATCGAAAAAAAGATAGGATCTTTCATATAAAGAAACTTCATCCCTTGTTAAGATACAGCCCCTTAAAGGGGGCACATAAAATTTGTGTAACAATTTTTTTCACAAGCACTGAAAAAGCTACAATATCGAAATTAACCTGACGTTTTGTACTACCAAAACGACACTCAGCCAGTAATTTATTTGGTTTTCCCCATGGTTGTAAGGGGTGGAAAACGCAACCTTTAAATTTATTTCTAATGTAACTTTTTGTCTTATTATTTGTTTATTATTTGAAAATTTATTTCAGATAGCCTGTTTCATTCTAAACAAAAAATGTCTCTAGGATTTTTTGCCCAAAATAAACCAGTTCGCAGCAAAAAATTATTTTACGAACATCATAAGTGAAGGCAGAAATTTAATTTTAGAATATTTTCTTATACAAAAGTTACATTACCTTTATATCAAAAGTACAATTATTAAATGTGCATTGCATGAATGATATGTTCCTTGAAATATTCGGTACAAGAGTTGAATTTTCTTGTGTTGAAATTATATTTTTTTCTGCCATGGACACAACTGCCGTTGATGTACCTGGTCGCAAATCGGGTGTGAGTGTTATTTCAGCACTGCCAAACGTTGTAAACACTTTATTAGCTATTTCTGTCCTGTGTGCTACCGATTCACCAACATACTCTTCAGCGACCGTTGATGACTTCCAACCGCCATGTTCTTTAGTGTCATCTGTCCCCTGAAAGTGTAGCAGACGATCTTCGAAATGAATGACCTGTATATGAATTGGCATTCTCAAGTTGAAGAAAATTAGCCACTGCTCCAGGTTCCTTATAAAATTGATTGCTACCCACAACCTGATTGATACATTTTCCATTGCGATATGCATAAAACAGGTGGCGATCCTTTGCTGTTGCTGGACAATGGTAAAATTCAATATATTCTTCAGCAACTACAAATCTCCTGTTTACATCATTCTTTGTTTGCTTGAGTCTCACAAATAATAGCGTTTCCGAATCTTCAATATCATCTAATGTTACCTGGCTGATTTCACAAACTCGACAAGCTCCTGCAACCCCAAATACAACAACAACCTTGGCCATTAAATAAACTTCATCGGGAGCATTATTTAAAAATTCACTAATATGTGTACTCGTTAATATCGCATCTTTCTTGGGCGTGTAACCTTTCCGATTTTGTTTCAGAAATGTAATTAGTTTTAAATATTTTGAAATCTCTACATTATTATTGGATTGTAACATACTGTTAATCATTGAATAATTCGACCACACTGTTGATGGCTTTTGTTGTTGTGCCAGTTCCGAAAAATAAGCCAATAACACCGTCTCCGAGAAAGAATTGCATGTCTATTTCATCTTCCATTCCATGAATCTTGAATACGCGGTTTCATAAATTTTCCGCGATTTAGCTGACAATAATTTTTGTGACGCTACTTTCGCTGCTTCTACTAACTCGGAATTAGGCATTTATCAAAATAACTACCGACCACTAAGTTTGCAATTTTTAAATGAAATCACAGAATTAAATTGGTCATTATTACGCCTTGGTCAAAGACGAAACGGACTGGTTTAAGTTTGACGATAGTCGTGTCACGAAGTGTTCTAGTGATGTATTGAAGCTATAGGAGCCTCTTGAGACACCCTACATTTTTTTTTATAAGAGAGAGGACATTGGCAGAGCAAGATATTCAGATGATGTTTTGCTGCAAGTTTTTCCGGGTTTTCCTGCAGCTGAAAAAGAAAATGCGCCACTGAAGTTGCCCCGGAGAGCCAATTAATTTTCATTGCTGTTTTTATTTTTATCATTATTAATGAAATATTCTACAAAAAAAATGTACAGATATTTGATTTTTTATTGATTGGTTTCCTTGCAAGGCTATAATTACAACAGCCTACCTGTTTAAGAATTGGAATTTCACATCGATAATTTTCTGACTTTAACATATTGTAATAATATTTTTTTTCAATATTGAATCGTCGTTTTCCCGTCATAGAAAAAAATTGTATATTATACTCCGCTTCGCGTCGGGAGACAACACAACCTCGAGCTGAATTCTAATACTTTTTTCCTTGTATAATAAATAACTATTTATTATTGATTAATGGTGTGTTCGCCCAAATAATAAATCACCTATCACCAGTCCCGACAATACGAAAGGACAATTTACGTTTCGTAATTAACTTATCTATTGAAACCCATTGCTTTCAGCTTGGTATGTCCCTGATAACATTTTTCCCAATATCATATTTTTCTCCACTCAAACCTATGGACACGAAAGATTAGTTTTTTGGAAGCTTTCAGAACTCTGGAAATAGTGTGGCATGATAATCATGAACAGTGATAAAGGTCCCATTCCAAAAACTCCAATGTACTTTCTTATGAATCACTCTGTTCAAACTAACAGTAACTTTCACGAAAAAAGTCCGCAAATTTCTACCCGGAATGATTGATGTGTATCGTGAAGTGAAAGTGTGTTCTGCAAGATGAAAGTGGAGAGTTTTACAGTAAGGAATCAGTTCACTCCATATCCTGAAGACGCCAACTTGGTTGTTGAAACGCGCGTCGCGAAAATCATTGCAGTTTTGGTGTTTGTACGGAATGAAAATTTTGCTTTCTGCAGTTAGGTTGCTTCAAAAGTTTTGACCGTTTTTATGAGTCTACTTCAGTGTATACTTATATATCAGTGACTAAGCGCCATTTGAATAATTTCACTTTTTCGAACGTAACACAAGTGGATTGATTCCATCAGCACGAAAATGCTCGGGATTCGATGAAATCGACGAAGGCCGTTTTTGAATTGTCCTGATTGGCGTAGCTTCTACCGTTATCGATAGATTATCAAATTGCTTAAAAAGATGGTAGACAGTTGGCGAGAGGTCTGGGACTATGGTGGGTGACGCAGAACTTTGATGCCCAACTCGGTTAATTTTTGGATTTGTGAAACGTGCAGATGGGCGTTGTCGTGGAGCAGGATCGAAACTATTCTCTTGACCAGTGCCGGCTTCTGCTGACGCAATTTTCGGTACATTTCATCGATTTCTCTCAGTAGTACCCTGCTGTGATAGTTTGGCCCGATTGTAGAAAGTTATAGTGAATAATACTAGTCGCTGAGTACCATACAGTAACCATGGTCTTTGTTTGGTGGGTTTTCGCCTTTGGGAAATGCCTGGTGTCATAGAGGATCCACTTTTCATCTCACTCGACGATCCGATCCAAAAGAGAATCGTTTTGGTTGCGCTAAAGCAAAGAAGAACAATTTCTGTTCTGTCGATCGTTCCAAATTCGAATTTAAATTTGGAAAAAATGATCAGCATCAATGTATAGAGGGCAAAATTGTCTTCTATAGAGACACAGTAGAATGAATATTCATTGAGATATGGAGCTACAAAAACACTTGACATCAAAACTGTCAAAACTTTTGAAACAACTAAAAAAGTTCAGTTATATTGTGTCAAAAGTTTCGCGTCTTCTACGTTTCCAATCAGCCTGAACAAGCTCTTCTAATAACTTCTGAAGAGAATACCCAATGTTTCTTGTTGAGTGTTCAAAATTAATAGTTTAGTTGGTAAATTTTCGTTATGTAGACACCCGGCGATTTTGAAAAAATTTTTGACTGTACTTACGTATTTTGATGCGTAGATTACGAATCCGAAAGAAAAAAGCGGCGCTCTCCCTTATTTAAAAAGTTACGGCCCTTCAAAGTTCAGAAAAGGGCAACTTGTCAGCCTTCTTTTTCACTAAATAAACTATTTGAAAACACAAGCATTTATTCACTAGGTCACCTTTACACCTTATTCCTCCTTCTTTAACTTTTCACTTCAATAATCAACATTTTTCTTATAAAAAACTGAATTCAAAAACGAATGCTTCTCCTGGTGACATTATTCTATTTTTAGGTTAGTTACTAGTGACATTTCAGAAAAAAGCGGTTGGTATTTGCCGTTGCCTACTATTTCAAATTCGTAATACACCACCAAAAACCAATTTACGATCTGAAGAATGAAGGTAAAAAACATTTGAATTACTTAAGGAATGTGGACTGCATCAGTCGTACCAACCATATCATTAACCTTAAAAACGTAAAATACAGTGATATGTAACCAAAAAGCAGCTCCGTACATTTTTTAACATTTTTATAAGAAATATGTTGATTATTGAAGAGAAAAGTGTTAAAGAAGGAGAAATAAGGTGTAAAGGTGACCTAGTGAATAAATGCTTGTGTTTTTAAATAGTTTATTTAGTGAAAAAAAAGGCTGAAAAGTTGCCCTTTTCTGAACTTTGAAGGGCCGTAACTTTTTAAATAAGGAAGAGCGCCGCTTTTTTCTTTCGGATTCGTAATCTACGCTTTAAAATACGTAAGTACAGTCAAAAATTTTTTCAAAATCGCCGGGTGTCCACATAACAAAAATTTACCGTTTAGTTATATAGTGGGGCATGTGTTAGGTTAATGAAGGTTGTAGATGTATTGAAAAATGAGTCGAAAGCAGAATTAATGACATTGGAAATTTCACTAACCGAGTTGAACCTCTCATTAGAGAGATAAATTTGGAGCTGAGCAGTATTTTCAGGTAAGAATGTTATTATTGTGTCTATAACAGATTTTAAACAGAAACAGATTCTTTTATTGAAGAAACCATTAATTGTCAA